TACCTTAGAGTAGATTATTTATTCAGGAGGCGGCAACTTTGCACCACACAAGACCAGAGTCTAATAATAATATGGTGTAGCGGTTAGGTTCGTCGCCGTCGCTCGTGGAAGACGTACGTTCGCTTTCCCAGTGGGGAAAAAAAATGTTTTTTCTATAGGCTATTCACCATCTCTGTCTGTCCGCCGAGGAAGTGGACCCCTTTCTGGGCCGGTTTGGAGCAGCCCGCCTCCTAAATTGGTCACTTTTAAGGACAAGCGGGCAAACCCAGATTTCGGGGGTTTCCAGAAATCTTGACCTACCCCAAAGTGGGCATTGTCCTACCTACCTATAGGAGATTTGTTTGGTTATAGAGAAAACTCTCTTAAAGAAGCTGATCAAGGGGCAGAAACTTTGCCTTCGATTTTCTCAAAACAGCATTTTTCCTTGTGCTTAAAAGCGACCAATTATCTAACTGTGTTGATAAGGACGTAAAACATGAATTAAAAACGTTTGCAATGCTTTTCCGAGGACTTTGACACTAGGGCGTGTGTCACAAGTGGGTGGTTGGAGGGTGCCACTGGTAGGTCCTTATATATATTTTAATACTTATTTTCTTTCCTCTGCTGTTTCTGTCTTGGATAATATACTGCATTTTCCTGACACAAAATGGCCGTTATCTATTCAATGTACGTTTCATTACTCTAACTCAAACTCAAACTTAAATTCAAACTCAAACACCTGAGGCCAGAGCTGATAAGATCACAGAGTGTGACAAATATTATATATAACAAGTTCAAGAACTAAGGCACACTTCACTACAACAGTCCTTCACAAGACCACAGTCACGACCAGAGGTTTCAAACAAGGACGGGACTGATCTATTTATAGCGCATCGGGGTTGTGCCAAAGAGTGTGTAGTAGAGAATCTTTGGTTGTACAGTTATTGTTTGTTTGGCTAAAGAGAAACGTTAATACATAACATTGTCCCCACCATAATATAATATAATTATTATGATTGTTGTACATTTTGTTTGTTTTGTTTGTTTTGGCTAAAGAGAAAAGTTAATAGAGACTGTCCGCACCACA